GCACGACATAGGTAAAGGTATTAAGCAATGTTGCTTTAATGGACTTTAAAGAGTTCGATAACGAGAATAGGTGGTAGACGTCATTTAGGTTCTTGCAAACGACTCTAAGCGGATTAAATAGCTCATAATTAAATTTACACTGGCTAAGCTTAACCAAGATAAAGTACCTAGAGAAGCGGTTAGGGACATTAAAGCTTATTTCACCAAGTAATGAAGGCGTGTCAATAGCACCATTAATTACTTTGATTACAAAGGAAACCCCAAGAACAAACCTACGTTTCTCAAGAGACGGTAAGGACAGCAGAAGCAACCTATTTTCATACGGAGGAAGAGAGGCAATTGGATCCCAACCCAAATTTCTAGGGGCAAACAGCAAGAATTGCTTTTGAACAGATTCAATTGAATTTACGTAGCAGAAGGAGACAACACAACAGAGGCCTACTCAAGTATAGGTGTGACCAAACACATGTACAGCCTTTTCGTAATGTAGGGATCATCAAGCTCTTTGGACCACCTTTTTAGAAAACCAAGCGCGGACCTTGCTTTGCCTATCGAGAGCTCAATATGCAAGTTAAAACGCAACCTATGGTCAAATAGTACGCCTAAATCTGTGATCGAATCGACGTCCTTCAACTTATGGGAATCTATGAAATACTGAGTAATGAATGACTTTCTTCTTGAGAAAGACAGCTTTTTACATTTACTCAGATTTAGTTTCAGAAGATTCAAAGCGCACCATTCACCAAATTATCCAAATCACCTTGAAGATGATGTGATTGCGATTCAACAGAGAAGGAAGAAAACAGTTTCACATCATCAGCATACGTTAAGATCTGGCTGGAATTAACCACCGATGGGAGATCATTAATGTATAAAGTAAATAAAATGGAACCTAAGTGACTTCCTTGAAGTACGTCAGACGTCACGGGGAATTCATCCGGGGTGCTGAAGTTAAACAAAACTCTGAAGGATCTATGGTGCAGATAAGAACTTATCCATTTCACTAAGTAGAAAGGGAAGCCAAAGGCTTGGAGTTTAAAGATATGTAAGTTATGGTTAACCAAACCAAATGCTTTGCTTAAATCAGTGTAAATAACATCTGTGCGAGAGCCACTAGAAAAAGCCTTGAAAACATGACAGAATTTGTGGCAAGGGTTTAACGTGGGTACCTGCCTGAAAGGCTTAACCTCACGGTGGCCCAAGCCACTTTTAAGCGTACTACGCCCCCTGGCGAGTTAGACAATCCCCACAGAGTAGGGGCCTAAACAGCACCAGAGTCCAGAACAGTTTATTGTGTATGGAACAATAAACCCCACTCTGGTGAATGGCGAGGCCTAGCTGCACTCAATTGTTCCATTTTAGCTAGGAACTCGCCAACCACAACCACCACGAGTACTCCCCGAAGGGCCGCACCCAAGCAGTCAGGACTCACAAATTGATCAACTGACTGCTTCCGCCATAAGGCTTCCACTGTGCTGTTGATCAATTACCACCATTACCCGCAGGCATCCGTGACATGTGTTCAAAAGTAAAAATAGGTAAAAGGGGAAAACTTATTCGTCATATCCCTTTTCCATTTTTGCATGTATTAATTAATTTACCAGACATTTTCTATCAATCGGCCAAAGGGAAGGCCGTCCGTTAATTCCTTTTTGCATTAATAGTATAATTAATTTATTTATTACGACTTAAGGACAAAGTCCATCATATACCCGCAGGCATACGTGGCTTTGTGAGGCGAGCTTCCTGACCCCCGTGGCTCCCAGTTTGTTTTGCAAAGCCTTATGGCATACTTTGGGCGGTTGTTAAAAACAACCGTACTTGCTTCGGATTCTCCATACTTTCCTGGTTGCCAGCCCCAAGTGAACTACTTTTCTTCAAGATATATAGGTCTCGGGTATTGCACTGAACATGGTAGACTAGTCTAATGCACTCTACCATGCACATGACAGTTAAACTCTAACAAGTTGGTGACTGTAGATCGCCCTTTCCGAAAGCCGTGCTGGTGCGGAGAAGCATACGAATTAATGGCAAAAGCCAAATGCTGAGTCACAATACGCTCGAACAACTTGGGCAAGACAATCAACTTGGCTATGCCTCTGTACTCTTCCAACATGAAGGGAAAACACCTAAATACAAGGACATGTTAAAAATCTTTGAGATCATACCACATAATTCGACAGCGCAAGATTTAATAACACATGATGGAATTCCATCAGGTCCAGGCGAACAACTATATTTAAGAGAACTCAACCCTTTAAAAACGTCATCTTCCGAAATAACCAAGTTAGGTATTGAAACCGAGTTGGTTATAGAATATGGGTAGTTTGCTGATAAATGGAAATTAGCAATCGAAAAGTTTCGTCGGAAATACTCAGCAAATAGATTTGAGATTTCAAAATCATCCGAGGAATCAGAGCCATTAAAAGAAACATGAGAAGGATATGTGGAAATTTTTCTTTTAGAGTTAACAAATTTAAAGAAGAATTTAGGATTAGCAAACAGAGAGGATTTAATGAACAGAAGGTATCTGCAGTAATAATGGTGGTTGAGGGAGTTAAATGTATGCCTCGCCACCGAGTAAGCGAAATAGTCGAGCGCAGAGCCACTTTTCGAATATTTTTTGAATAGCGAGTTTTTTCTGTTCTTGTGATATTTAATTATCTCATTAAACCACGGGGGACACCTGCCTCGAGGTCGACACTGCTTGATCGGAACAGATGCAGCAATAGTTAGATTTAATGTATTGTAGAACGATGACAATAAGCTTTCAATACTACCGGTTGAGAAATCAAGCCTCAAATGTGAAAGACAATGTTTTGGCAATACAATATTGATTTTATGAAAATCATAATAATTATTTAAAAAAGTTTGATTTGGCACATGAAGGCAATTCAACAAACCATCATTCATATGATGAAAGGAAATGCATATTGATGGATGATAAGGGTGCCCAGGTAAACTAAAAGGTGGACAATGATTTACGTTAATCTCGGGAAAATTTGCAAAGCAGAGATCAAGCAGTCTACCATTACAATTAGGAGCACGATTATATTGACCCAAATTATGATCAAACAATTCACTAAAGAACACAACAGCCCTATCAGACGTTGAAGTAGGAACCAAACAGCCAGAATTATCAGTGTTACACCAAGTGACTTGAGGCAAATTGAAGTCACCCAATGCAACGACCAAATCGGTGGGTCTAGACCGCTTGGCCACTTCACAAATGAGGGCAGCGTGTTTTCTGTAAATGGAGATATCAAAATTAGGGGGAATATAGGAGCAGGTTATAAATAGATATTTATTAGGCATTTTCGCACGAATGGCGATAAATTCAACGTCAGGAGAAGTGAGAAATTCAATTAAATTGGACCGGACTGGCGCAGATATGGCAATTAATACACAACCACCAATGTGATTTACTCGATCATTTCTAAAGACTTGGGGAGAATTATGAAAAAGTTCTGACGAATGAAGATCGGGTTTTAGCTAAGTTTCAGTGAAGGCCAAACAGAAAAACTCCGTGCTCACTGAATTTAGAAAACTAGAACGAATTTTTGAATTTAGGCCCCTAACATTTTGATAAATGAGAGATAATGGGCCTGAAGAAACATTTAGTTTTTTGAAGGCGACAAGACTATTGCTTTGGTATTACGGGGACGATCTCGAGGGATAAATTCCTTAATCAAGGACCCTACTGGCCACAGTGATTTGTTTAACAACATATCACTGTTTTCAGTCGGAACTAATATTTTAAAAGAGGAGATTGCCCTAGCTTGAGAGGGAGCCCTTTTGAAGATGCTAACACGCTTTAAGTTGACTGATGGGACTTTCGTCGCCAGATAACTTTTTATGTTATCTACCGATGTTTCAGGTGCCAGTCTTGACACAAATATTGCTTTTCTGGCAGGAACTGCTGTCAAGCAAATGTCATTATTTGGAACAGGAGGGGGGTTCACAGTAGGAGAGTTTCGAGTTGGGGAGAATATAGATGGGGTTACCCCCCTTGTACCGGCAGCTTGTGAGACTTGCCCAGTCTGGTGACCAGCATTCACACGCGAACAGCCAGGAGGAGAGGATGATTTATTTTTCTCTTCATTACTTTTAGGCGATGGCGCTTGATTAGAGTGAGTGGCGGCTCTGGGCGGAGATACCCTTGCCACTTCGGCGTACTTAAAGCCGACGGACTTGCCGGTTTGTTTGTATATGTTTTGCTACCAACCGACTCAGCAATATCGGAAACATTACCGTTCATTTTAGAGTTTGTGACGAGTTTCCTATGTTATGGTAACATAGCAAATTTCAAAAAATCGGCAAAAATAGTTCCTGAAAGCAAAGTGTGAATTTTTTTTGCTTAATCGATAGGTATTTTTACATAGATTCACGTGGTATAGGTGAATATAGGCGACATTTTCTAGTTTGGCCGCACCAGAGTGTCAAAGTTGGGTGTTTTCTCATAGCTATGTTATGGTAACATAGCAAATTTCAAAAAATCGGCAAAAATAGTTCCTGAAAGCAAAGTGTGAATTTTTTTTGCTTAATCGATAGGTATTTTCATATAGATTCACGTGGTATAGGTGAATATAGGCGACATTTTCTAGTTTGGCCGCACTAGAGTGTCAAATTTGGGTGTTTTTTCATATGCAGTTTTCGCTAACATACTGAATTTCAAATACCGTTAAAAATAGTTTCCATAAGCAGAATTTGAATTTGTTTAGTTTGTTTGAAAAGTAGTTTTATATGGATTCATGAAATGTCCACAAAAATATTTTCTTTTTTTTAATATGGACGGATTAGGCTTTCAAACCAACTATATCTCAATTGTAAGGATTTAACATGAGCTCTGTTAAGTCGTTAACAGAGGTATGTTAACAGAAATGGTAGGTGTCTTTACTAGTTAAATTCGAATTTATCTTCACACCCTTGTGTCATTTACATATGATCTTGCAAATAGTTATGTATATCCTCACATTCGTTTGTTCTTGATGTCTTTGCAGATTATACTCTCTACGATCTTGTTTATGCAAGAATTTCTGGAAATCATTATTTTGAGTAATTATTGTGTTGAATCTTATCTTTTGTGTATTTATATCACATCCTTATCGGAGAAGTTATTGCTACATTCACTTGATATATTACATTGGATGCGCGTAAGTAGTTGACTAAGGTACTCACAAACTAAATGTAATCATTTTGCAACTGTTATGTTCCTTTCGTAGGAAACGCAAGAATTTTACACTTTGTTACACCGCCTCAATCATTATGTTAGCATTCCCGTTGGTTTCCTTTTCATCAAAAGTACAATCTATGCGATTAGTAGTTGCATACATATATTCGGAAACTTTGGCTTTCTTTATTCACACCACGTAATCATTCCAAATGTGGCCAACATTGTACTGGAATTAATTTTGTGTTTATTACCAGTTTTTATGGCAGCATCACTAACTCAAAAATGCAAAATGGCAAAGTCTATTGGCCATCGGATACAGGGGCGACCGTTTGTTTATCACAATGCTCCAATTGATGACCTTAACACAGTGTTGATATTTGCTTCGTCATTGGATATGTCTGCGGAATTGTTTCGCATACCAATTAAATACAATTACCTATGTTTCACGTTGCTTTCTTGTTTAATAACGTTTTTAACAATGGCTGTGTATCACAATTTACCAGCGTGAAAGGTCATTTGCCAACGAAAGTAAATGTGCGCGAAAGTAGTGTAGATGTGCACTAATACGTAAATATAAATTGTATAGTTTCCTAATGCTTTCTTAATAAGACAAAAAATGGAAGTAAAATTTTCATTAACAATTTATAATACTCATCAGCAACTCCCATTTAAAAAATATTTCTTCCTATTAAGACATAAGTGATTGTATAACATTAAAAGTAGCAAATATTTCATTTAGACTACGGCTCCGGAGCCCCGGATCAGAACACTAACAAATATTATATTTTATTTTACTCAGCTCATATTCCTCAAAATAATAAATCTGAAACACCTGATTTTCCAGTACTAACACGCTTTTAATTGCATTGAAAGACACTAACGATTTCATTTTTCAACTAAGGACTCTCGCCATTAAAACGGGTTTACACAGCATGAAAATAAAGCTGAACGTAAGATCTCATATCCTATGAGAAGCAAAAATTGCTGGCGCTTTGCCCAAGCGCTACTGCGGACTTTCTCTACATAGCCCCGTCTAATCTTTCGCATGAACTGCAAGAAGCAACATTCGGCTTTAAAATAAGATACAAAACTAAACTCGCTCTAGATGTCAAGAACAAAATCTTGTTTCATCTTTTAAGGAAGCGTTTTGCTTCCTTACTGATAACAAGTCCGTCCGCACGAATGTCAGTCCCTTACATGTCTTTTTTCTTACTGATTATTATAAGATCACGCTTCTCCCGCACAAACCGTTGACAATTCAATATATGTATGTATAAAACAAAAAAAGGAAAATTGTATACATTACCCATTATGTACTATAGTTTCAGAAAATGTGCCCAGCTATAAAATGTATGCAAATGTATAAAACGTATATATAGTAGAACACATATAAACAATATGCATAATTTTTTGCCTAATGGGGTATGAAATCATACGATTTGGTACCTAGATTAGCAATGACAATAAAACAGACCTAAAAACACGCATACAAGCAATAGGCAATAGGAAAAAAAAAAAAATTACGAATGGTATACTTCATATGACCTAAGTTAAAATACATAAGAATATACAGATAAGAATAACACATATGCAAGTCAAAGCAGCTATGTAACGGGACAGCGATGGTGATCGCGACTATAAAAGAGCACGTAGCAGCACGCCCAGGCTTTCAGTCGTGTTGCAGCAGCCAGAGGTAAGTGATCACAGACCACATAACTAGTTGACGTTACTGCTAGGCTTTTTTGACTTCACGGATAGGGGATGGCAGGTTTAGCTTAACCGTCATCTCTGAATGACTAATAGGACTATTAACCTTCACAGATAAGGGATGGCAGGTTTAGCTTAACCGCTATCCCTGAATGACTAATGGACTCTCTCTTGCTAAATGGAACGGTTAGGGACGGACGAGTGGCCCTATAGGCCGAGGTTGGCTGCTGTAACACCCGCAGCGTATTTCTTTTCTTTTACAGAAACTCGCGATACGGAAACGTAGAAAAGTAAATATAATAATAATCGTTCAGAACGAATAAGAAATATTAAAACGTTAAAGAAAGGTCGAATCACCACGCCGGGTTTTTCCTCCCACTCCCCTTAAAATCGCTCATCGAGTGTAAAATTCCTCAGAAATTAATTTAAAAAAACAAAAGAATACAACCGAAGGTCCAAGTTTTTTTAATACTTTCTTGGGAAGATCCCTGGATTGGCTGAGTATACTCTGCCCAAGAAGACTCGGTACAAGTGGTGCCCGAGCAGGCACCTTTGATTTAAAAAGGAACACTGAGAGCGAAGGAGCCCTGCGGTTATCGAAGGAGAGGAAAAAGAAACCCAGCAAGGTGAAGCTTGCGGTGCTAGAGACAATGTACGCTGCAAAACCGCTGCACCTACCAGAGGGCACAGGGCGAGGTGTAAGCCCTAAGCGATCCGCGCAGGAACAAATTTCGAGCAGCGCGGCCGTGGACCGACTCTGTAAATGGTCGATACGTTACGACGGCGATAGTTGCGCGCTTGAATTCATCGGACGCCTCGAGGAGCTGTGCGAAGTCTACGAACCACCCCTGGACATCATGCCACGGATAATAATGGAGTTATTTAGTGGTAAAGCAACAACAGGAAATCATGGACAGAGTGGCAGGAGTTTAATCAAGAATTCTTCAAATTTTTCCTGCATACGCGATATCTCGAGCGATCGGATGACCAGGTATCTCAGACACTTCAGCTAGAGAGCGAAAAATTCAAGGACTACGCCTGCAAGACATGATGCGGACTCAAAACCGTTATTGTTACCGACAGTTTGTCTTTATTACAAGCTATTGGGAACCCTTCGACTTCGAGATGAAACACCATCAACAAATTAAGGAATATAGTTACTACACCTACTACAATGTTATGGGTACCAAGTCACATCGGTTTATTGGGAAATGAGCAGGCTGATCGAGCGGCAAAGTATGCCGCTTCTGCTCCTCTAAGTATAGATGATGTCATACATCTTCAAAGATACATTGGAAGATAAGTTAACGTGGAAATTGCAGAAGGAAATTTACAATACCATCATCAACACTAGTCTTCTATTAACCCTCAATTAATTCCACCTTTATACCCAACAAATGTTGAGAAAACCAAGATCCAAACGTTTTCGAGAATTCGCTTTGGTCATACAATTGCAACTCACCAATGGATCTTGAAGAAGTTTTGCTCCCCAATCTGCAGTTATGGGCCAACTCTCACTATAAAGCACATTCTCTGCGACTGCTTTAACTTTTCCCTGGCTAGAAGTATTGCATTTGGAACGACTAAACCTTTGGACATTGTAAAATCAGCTTCAGAACCGAATATCAATTCTATATATTACTTTATTAATACTACTAAGCTCATTGTCTAATGTACATTTATTTATATTAGAGCCGGCAGCCTGTGCTGCTAATGCTCAATGTCTTTTTTTTTTTAGTAGCCTAAGAATTTATTTCATTAGTCTTAAATTATAATAATAATAATACTTGAGAATGGGAAGTGAAGTCACGCACGAAAAGAAAAACTTGACGAAAATAAATAGTCAGGCGGAAAAAGTGGGGATTACGATTGAAAAAGTGACAAATATTTGTTGTCATAAAAATTGTATAACTATTATTATAATTATTACTATTAATTTTGCCAGAGACACAAATTCTAAGACTAAACTCTTAAAAGCACTAGCATCTAAGGCTATCGGCTTTTATTAAAAACTCTACCGAACTTGAGATTCGAACCCACGACTATTGACTTGCTAGTCGAGATTCCTCGCCTTAGGCTACTCAGGCGGATGTATAACTAATAATGTATTTGAAATTCAAAAATACTCTGCTCGTCTATGTGCAATACTGATTCCAAATAATATAATTTGATACATATCTATAGAAAGTAATTATATATGTGCACAAACAAAATGAGACTAATAAAATATGAATTCCCTGATCTTTAAAAATTATATGTGTACATGTTGTATGTAAACATGAATGTACAACAAGTCGATTAAAAAGAAGGATCCTGTTAAGACCATATAAGTTATGGGTTTACCGTTTGAACATAAAAAGTATACAGTGATGTATTCGGATAATACATAAAATGTATTCGTGTCCTTAGTAGGAAAATTTTCCAAACAATAAGAAAATAATTTGCATAATTACCTGAATTAAAAAAGATAAAGTAAAAAGTGACTTTATCTGACAAAAATTTTCCTGTTTGATACATGGTGAAAGTGATAAGAATACAGAGTATTTAAGCTCAAGAATATTTATTAAAGCAACCTTCAATTTAAACTGATGATCGAATCCTGATTAAGGGAAAGAATACATGATATTTAAACTCAAGTTAATCTACTAAATAACTCTCAGTTTATACCGCTTGGTGATGAAATTCTAAGTAAAGCAAAGAATACATCAAAGGTGTAAATTCTAGAACTTTTACGTCTGCAATATCAAGTTTACGTAGTCGAGAATCCAGCGAATCCAACCAACGAGTGACTTTGCGCATGCAGGTATCAAAAAATAAGTGAAATGTTTTTGATTCAGAATAAATTTAGTATCTTATATAAGACAGTTGCTAATATTATTTGAATAAGAAAATTTTATTAGAATAAAACAAAAAATTTATGAACACAAATATATAAACTTTTTTTCTCTTAATTGGAATATAGCTTAGAGGTCGTTAAACCCAATTGCGAGGCCTTCCGTTGCAAATCATTGGGCGAAGAAGACCAGAGCTCTGATAAGGTGCAAAATGAACTATGAACTACCCGTTCGATAGGAACATTTTGTCCGTCCGTTTATGCTTATCAGGGTAAGTCACGTGTACTTCTTTTGAATGTAACGGCCTGAGGAGTGTCCGTGGGACAAAAGCTCAGCAATGACATGTGCGTCCGTCTCAACCTCCCATCCTCTTCAAGTGACTCTTAAGATTCCTCCTATGAAGTCCATAGTTAGTCACCTAGAGAGACAGAGAGGATTACTACAGACATAATCCCTAAAATTACAGAATTACCGGAATGTATACGCAGAAAGTAAAATGAAGCATGCACAGCACGCGCAATGTTTTATGAACTTTGTAAGAGAAACCAACAGACGTCGCAGACAAGTTCAGTTTGAAGAAGAGCAAATGCTTTATAGGAAGAACTCCAAGTGCAGTAACATAACGAAATACCAAATGTATGGTAAGTAAAGCAAAGGAAGAATAGGAAATGGCCTTTACAAGCTTAATACTTCACCATGGAAAGGTTATGCATATATTACACTAAAGGCATGTTTGCATTTTGGTATGTGCATTTTATTTTACGAAACGATGTATTAACGGACTCAGGCAGAGACAACAAAGTATAGTAAGAGTCAAATTCATATCAAGCGGTAAAATAAAACATTGTGTAGAAAAATAACAAAAAAAAAGATTGAGGTTAAGACGTACGTTAAAAGTTGCACAACTGTTTAAAAATTAATTAGTTAAACTATACAACAATTTAAGCTAATCAAAACATAACTTAAAAGAAACATTATTGCGGAAAACTTAAAAAATAATTAAAGCACGTACGATAATTTTAAAAATTAGTTAAAATTTGTAAGCTAATTTTGCTAATTAAAACCTACTTTAAAATATATTGTTAAGAACTTAAAAATAAGTTAAAAACATTAAACAAGTTAAAACAATTTTTGCTTATTAAAACTCACCCTACACTTTAATTGTGTTCTGAGCATCCATTGTTTAATAAAACATATTTAAAAATCAATAAAACTATTGCTTTACATTTATCCTAAATTAGAAAAACACGCCTCGTGGAATAAGCGGGAGAAAAGTTTTTTTATATATATCTATACAGTTAACCAAAACTGCACTGTGCTGATCAATGACGTCATGTGCTGTGGCGAAATTGAGGCAGAAGATAAGCTACAATGGTAAGATGTCAGCCGAAGAATTTGGACCTTTAAAAATTGATCTTTATTTTATTCTTTCCTTATTCAGACCATATTCATGATAAACTGAAAAAATAGGAATGGTATGTCTTCAAAAAAAAGTGCAAGATTTCGTGCGGCATAATAACCGACTAAGCGAGCTCACTAATTCACAAAGAGACTAACGAACGAGAAACAGAAAAGACAATAACTTGGAGACAAACAAAATATATGTCCACATCAACGAACAGGCAAGGAATACAATGACGTGGACACGCTGGTATGAATATATATATGTAGCAAAACATAAAAAAAAATGCTCTCGCTATTTATAAT